ACAACAAAATGCAAAATCATGAGCATACCTAGTAACAAACTCGACACACGCCCACCACCAATTGTTTTCATCAACTCCAAAGCTCTCTGATCCATAGTACGCCATTATTGTGTGCAAGCAGTATCAAGATAAAGCACGAAATACAGCAAATACATCTAAAAACGCTAAAATCTAAAGGTATTAGTCCAGAAATGGCTAGAACAAAATATAACATTGAAAACACCGACACATACATTGACAATATATGTATAAAAATCTTAAAGCGTATTCTATGAAACCCTGATGTTAACGAAGTTTACCCAGCGTCAGATATAAATAAAGATATAATTAGATGTTTAAATGCAAAAAAATGACTTTATTGCTATGCATCAACCTCATTTTTTAATCATTGATATAATAATACTTCAAACAAAAAGACAAACAATAAATCCAAAATAACAACAAGACAAAATATCAACTTCGGGTTCAAGATACTTGTAAGCTGCATTAGCTACTGCAAATACAGATTAAAAAAATAGTTTTACCAAAAGAACATTGTGTCTTATAAGAGATGGGAAACATAACTTGTACACTTGTTAATCAAAGCAACTGCAAATTTAACTACCAAAATATGTGTGCATATATATGTATGTGTGTATGCATGAATGTAAAAAATTCTGCAATTTCTAAATTTTTAGACCATTGAATTTAAAATAATAATAAAATAACTTATATAATAATGCAGAACATAAACTTACTTCATAAAATGATCTAATTGCATTTGTCGATTAAACATGGACAACACTGATGTGTAACCATTTACACGTTGCAAGTTAAGATAATAGCAAACATTTTTTTATCCTACTAATAGCAAGCCTTCCCAGGAAAGGCGTGCGGTTTTTCGTCTTGTATGACCACGCATGAGTATTTTAATTTAGACAACTTGGTTACGGCCGTTTGCAATTTTTATTATATGCGTTGCTAAAAAATGTTTTATAACAAAGAAAGCAAAATAACAAAATAGGAAGTAAAAATAAACTTAAATAGAAAATAATAGTAATAGTTTAAATAATTTGTGAACTATTTTTATTATTGTTTCTTGGTAGTGATTATTATTTTCGGCAACAAAATTCAGTAAGTCAAAGCAAAAAAAAAAACAGTTTTAAGCATTAAATAGGATGACTTTCCTACATTTTATTGGTTTTTTTTAAAAAGGAAAACAAAAATATGTTGCATCATCTGTTTTTAAAATATATTTGTAAAATTTTAATGTTACAAGTATATAGCAAGGGTTGAATTAAGCGATCGCGATTTGCAAACTTTGGAAAAATATCTGGTCTTCAAAATTTTAATTTATGCAAAGCTGTTTTCAAGAAGCAAATTATTATAAGTTGTTAGCAAGAAAGTTGTAAAAAACAAAACAAAACAATAAACTTAGGACTACAAAAGTAATAACACTTTAGTCACTAACTGCATTATAAAAGTAATAAAACTATAATAGTGTTATTACTTTTATAAAGCACTTATTACTTTTAAAGTTTATTCTTCGTTCAAACAACATTAGTAATTCCAAACATTAGTTAAAGTAGAAAAGAATTAAAAAAAAAAACAAAAACGGATACTCAAATATTGTTAAAAACTTCAGGAACTTTCACAAATCACTCGAACAACTTTATTAAAAGTTTAACAGTTACTAATAGTCCGTAAAAACGCGCGTTAATTTTAAAAACAACCAATTTTTATTAGTTGATTTTAAAATTAACGCGCGTTTTTACGGACCATCAATACCATTTTTCATAATGCTAAATTTTTTATACATTACGTTTGTCACGTTTTTATAAGTTACTTATTACTATCACGTTTTTATAAGTTTTAAATATTATTTGAATATCCACTCTATTCTTCTAAATGCTTTTCTACTTCAATTAAAATTTGTGATTACTTATTTTGATTTAACAAAGAATGAATTATAAAAGTTATAAGTGCGTTATAAAAGTAATAACACTATTATAGTGTTATTACTTTTATAATGCAGTTTGTGACTAGAGCGTTATTACTTTTGCAGTCGTAAATTTATTGTTTTATTTTTTATGACTTTTTCCCTTGCAAATTTAAGTTGATTCGCCCCTTGAAAACAAAGTACACAACTTTGTATTAATTAAAATTTTAAATACCAGATATTTTTCCAGATTTTGCATTTCGCAATTGCTTAATGGGTAAAAATTTCTCAAAAAACACAATAAAACACAAATCTGCACCCTATATCACCAAAAGTTTTGAAACTTGGCACAAATGTTTATAGACATATGTTAGGAAAGATTGTAATTTTTTTTCATAAAATTCCTTACCGTTTATAATTTACAGCAATTTGAAGTTTCCTTGATTTTGACTAAAAACTGAAGGGGGAAAAGTGCCGAAAATCATTCCGTTTACTTTCACCTTAATATGGTGCTTGGAGTGATGCCACAATTCTGAAACTCCTTTTCTATTTTGTTGCTGAATGTAACAACCAGTCTAAAGTAAAAAATAAAAACAGTACACAAATTATTTAAATTATTAAATTCTTTCTATTTTTTTCTATATTAATTTCTTTTTATTTTTTATTTTGTTCGTTTTTTTTGTTCGTTTTTTTTGTTTTTCAAACTTTTTTCGCAATGATTAAAATAAAACTTGCAAAAGGCCGTGACCAAGTTGTCTAAAATAAATACTCGCGCGTGGTCATACAAGACAAAAAACCGTACGCCTTTCCTGGGATGGCTTTTAAATATTATCGTTATAAAATATATTTTATAAACTATAAAATTAAAAAAAAACTTTTTAATGTCAGTTGACTAATAAATATAAAAAAATTATAACATTTTTATAACATTTAGATTTTAACATACAAGATAAAGTTTCAAAAAATAGTTTTTTTTTTTTTAATCAAGTAATAAAATTAATGGCTGCCAATTTTCTGAGAATTAGTCAAAAAGTAAAATAGAAAGATAAACTTATACTTAACTTTTACTTTATTTTAAAAAAGTTTATACAAATGGTCCTTAGTGTGTTAGGTTCATATTGAATTAGACATTTTAAAGTTAATTCATTATTTTAGGTTTCAAGACTTTTTAAAAATCAAAAATGTCAATTTTTACAAGAAAAAATAAGGTATCGCAAGATATATTTATTCACTTTCAAAATCTCTAGCTAAAAAGAAAGATATTAAAACTGTGTCTATAGAAGAGGTAGCATAGTTGTTTATTGAACATCTTTTTGTAGACTTACTTATTATGATCAAATAATATGAAGAATGTGTAAAAATACATATATTCTTCCATGAACAAAAAATAAACTTATATTTCAACATATTAACACATTGAAACATTCAATTATTGATCAATAAAGTCATTCACCTTGGTTATTTAACTGCATATTTTAGTGTAGACTGAACCAAACATAAAAATATTCCAGTAAACACTACATTTAATTTTAATAGTCACACGAACAATTCTTGCTGAAAGATAGGTTTTGGGTTCAGAATCAGTATCACTAAACTTAACTTTACCAAAAAAATCAACCATATTTGATACTCTATTTTGATTATCACTTGAATATATATTCACTTTACAGAGATATAATTCTTTTAAATGATTTATGTTTGTTTTCTAGTGACAAAAGATCTTCAGGTAATAGTTCATCCAATAAACTTGAAAACATATCAGGGCAAACAGTACTAGAGATATAATTATTATCATATATAATATATGTGATAATAGATATATCTCTAGTACCGGAGATATATCTATTATCACATATATTGGATGCAAAAATAATTATATCTTGAGTATATGTTGGCATATGTAATAATACTTTAGCAGAACAATAAATATTGTTCGGCTAAAGCATTATCACATATCAGTGCAAACTGTACTTACAGTTTCCACTGATATGTTGATACACGTAATAATGCAAATTCTTTACATATATATCATTTATAATATAAATTATATGTAATGGAGGTATATATATATATATATATATATATATATATATATATATATATATATATATATATATATATATATATATATATATATATATATATATATATATATATATATATATATATATATATATATATATATATATATATATATATATATATATATATATGTATCAGTTTGCACTGATACACAGCAAAAAACATAACGCTAAAATAACGGTTACATAACGGTAAATGAAAATTTTGGCGTTATGTTCACCGTTATGTTCGCGTTATGTTAAGTTAAAAGCTTTATGCCCAAAACTTTTTGTATGATATTTATAAAGCGTTATGTTTAACCGTTATGTTTAACAGTTTTATTATTATAAAATAACGCAAATCTAAAGGATTTTTGCAATTAGATTTTTTGTTGATAATGTCTCTACTATTTTAGTTTACGTATTTTATTTACATACAGTATTTACCACTTAATAAGTAACTTAACTATAATAAAACTTTTTGGATGTTTAACATCCAAAAAGCTGTTTTATAGGCTTCAGAACCACAAATTCAATAAATATAAATTAATTAATAATTAATTTATATTTATTGGATTTGTGGTTCTACCAATCTAGCAAATCAAATACTAATCATATAATATATATGTATATATATATATATATATATATATATATATATATATATATATATATATATATATATATATATATATATATATATATATATATATATATATATAATATATAATATATAATATATATATATATATATATATATATATATATATATATATATATATATATATATATATATATATATATATATATATATATATATATATATATTTAATACTAACTATTTATTACTTATTACTATTTTACCAGGTACTTACATAATTGCAACATAATGTTGCCAATTAATATTGTTTTCCTATATTTATTTAATACTTACTGTTTATTACTTATTACTATTTTTAAAATTAATTCCTAATTAAAAGTATTCAAAAATTTTAAATATACTATTTGTAAAGTTGAAGTTGTCTAAATAATAATATCTGCATTACTGATTTGTACAATAGTTAATATTTTAAAATGATAAAGGCCGTTGTTGTAAAATATCTTGGCGAAAGAAAATTAGTTCTTGCTAATAATAGCAATATTGCAGACTTTTTAACGAATGGTAAGCATATTTTTGAATGCAGTTTCACATTCTTTTTTTAATCAATCTTTTTTTTCAAGATCAGTTATTCAATCTTCAAGTTTTTCACAGCTCATTTTTTTCTCATTAATATTTAAGACTTTATAGATGTAAAAAAAAAAATGGTTATTTGAGTTATTTAATTTAAAATTGTACTCTTTTAGTTTCTAAGAAGTTTGGTGACATCTATATCAGTGGCATCATGTGGAATAGATGTGAAGTTGATTCAGAAACATTTGTTGCCATTTTGAATGAACAAAATTTGGAAGTCGAAGTTTTACCTCCTGCAAATAATAATGAGTTTGGCTCTTTTGTTCAAAGTTTAAAGGGGTTTTCTCCTGTTAAAAATGTTTTTTCTGCTGTAGATCTCTCTCACCCTGTTTCATTCGATTTTAACAACCAGCAATCCAGCAATCCAACCAAAACTCCTCAACTTTCAACTGCTACTATATTATACCAAGACTCTAATTATGAAGACAATTTCCTTGAAGATTTAGAGTCTACAAATTTGTAAAATTCAAGTTTATTGTCAACTGCTGAACAAGCTTCTTTATCAAGTGCTGAACCACCTACATCTCAAAAAGTAATTTTATTTTGTTTTAATTGTAGTTTTCACACAAGTAAACAATATGTAATGATATCACATCTTAAATTACATGGTCAGGAAGGTTCAGTTGTATGTGAAAACTGTTTTTCAAAGTTTAAAAGTGTTAAAGGTTTTAAACTTCACAATAAAAACTGTTTGGCTTTTTTTGATACTGAAACTGAAGTAACTAATGATAATATTGATTCAATATTATCATTAGTTTTTTTCAAATTCAATTTTTGAAAGAGAAAAGAAAAGATCAACTTGCTGCATTAGCTCTTCATTTGCGAGGGAAATATAGATGCTCGGAAAATGTTGTCAACATTATTTTTTCAAATTTACAAAATCTTTTTATTAATAAATCACAAAACGAAGAGATTAATACAATTTGTAAACAACTATCAACAGAATATTCTAGAACAAGATATTTTCAAAATGCTTTTAAAATGCCACAAATTCAGTCTGTACGCAAAAATAGTTTACACGGATGTTTTATTCCATTTAAAGAAATAATTCAGTTCATTTTTACATCAAATGAATATAATACCTTTCTAAAGTATTCTTCAGAAATATCTATCTCATTGTATTCAGATGATTTAGGGGTATCTAATCCGATAGGCAAATCTAGAGGAAAACACAAGTTGTAGGTTTTATATTTTCAGTTGTTGAACATTTCACAATGCTGTTTAAGTAAAACATTCTCAATATTCCCTTTAGCAATAACTGGTTCTAAATCAGTTAAGGATAATTGCTTTATGAAATCTCTTCTTCTTGACTTGGTACAATCTCTAAACGAACTATTGTTGATTGATTCTTCAACATTAGCAATACTAACGGTAAAAAATTCAATGTAAAGTTAAAACACTTTATTGGCGAATCATTAACTTGCAATGCAATCGCTGGTTTTAAAGAGGGTTTTAGCAAGAATGTTGTAAGGTGCTGTAGAGTTGGTAATTTGAACAGGTCGGAAATGTTAGTTTATAATAAACATTCTCAGTGTAAAGTAAGGAGTTTAGAAGAACACAAGATGAGGGTCAATTAGATAATCCTAGTCTTTCCCGAGTTTAACGTGTAAAATGGTCAAAAATATATGGTGTTCAATCTAACAGTATTCTATCTGAAATTAAAGAATTTGATGTGACAAAGCAAGTTTTTTTTGACCCAATGCATGATTTGTTAGAAGGTGTAATACCATTGCAGATAGAACTTTACTTAAATCATGCAATTTTAAATGGTATTTTTACAATAGTCAGCTTAAACAAATTTGTCAAATTGTTTCAGTACCTTAAAGACAGTGAAAAACCACCTGTAATAGTAGATTTGGTTATTAAGGGGAAATTTGGTAGTGCTCAAGTTCTTTCTATTTGTCGTATTTTACCAATTTTTTTAAGAAATACTGCAATTGATTGTCATTTCTCCTGCCTTATTAAGCTGCTGCATATTGTGCCTCTTTCCGATTACCACAGAGGCTTACTTTATCTCTTTAGAAGAAGCAATTGGAGTCCATCATACTCTTTTTATGGGTTTATATCCAGATAAGTTTATACCAAAGCTTCATTTTCTTATTCATTATCCTCAGCAATCCAGACAATTTGGTCCACTACGATACCACATGTGCATGGCTTTTGAGAGGAAACACCAAGTAATAAAAAATGTTAGGCATTTTAACTTCAAAAATATGCCTTTTAGTGCTATGAAGAGTATGGTTTTAAACACTGTAGCTTCTTTTTATAATTCTTTTGGAGAAATTAGTAATGGAGTTCTTTGTGAATTAAATCAAGTTACGATTAAAAAAAATGTTGTTACTTGCATCCGTATTAATGGTATTAAATATTGTCCTGAATTGTCTTTATGGTTTCATGATGGTTTTCAATCTTTTGCTTATATTATTAAAGAAATACATGTAAAAGGAGAAAAAACAACATTTATTACCTCACAGCTTCAGTGCCTTACTTACAATGTGTTACAAGGGTTTTTTACTGCTGTTGAGGACAATACAGTTACTTTTAAAACTATTTCAGCCAAAAACTTAGATTTTCCATGGCCAGCGTTTTATTATAAGGAAGGGGACATTTCATATGTTGTACCCCCAGCATTGCCAGTCCTTATCATTTAGTTGCATTGAAAGAAAACTAGTTTTAATAAAAAGTGTATATTATTTGCAATAAATATGATTGCTTAGTCTGATTTGCATTTTTTATTTTGTCAGTTTTAGTTGTTGTAAATGTTTTATTTTTTCATAAGTTTCACAAATGTTTTAAAAGAAAATGTTGTTTTTTATTAGTTTTATGTTTTATATATTTACATTAATAATTTATATTTAGATTAACAGAATCCCTTTTGGTGGTGAGACTAAACAAGCTTTCATTGATTTTTTTCCACCTCACATTAAACTATTTCTGAGCAACAAGTCTTCAGTTGAAGATAAAGTGATATCTAGAGAGCTAATGTCTTGTTTATTAGCTTTTTGTTGTTTGCATGTGCCTAATCATAGCAATATACAAAATAGAATATTGTTACGGAAAGTATTTTTTGCAAAGTTAAAGTCTACTTGCATTTCCTTATATCCTTCTTACATCAATAAATAGGTAAGAACGTCTTTAATACTATAATTTTTATTTTTATTAAAATTGGTAATAATTATTATTATTTTAAATATTTTTGGCCTTCTTCTTTTTCCTTTGTTTTAATATTTTTCTTCAGATTTACAAATTTCTTGCTGCATATATAAATTGTTTGATTTGATTTATTTAATTAAACTTTTGAACTTTTTAATTTTATATTATTTTATTATTAATTTTATATTAATTTTTTTTAATATTATATTATATAACTTATTAATTTTATATTTTTTATTTATTTTTTGAACTTATTAATTTTATATTTAATCTCGTTCAAAATGTTGCTCAATAATTATAGACAAAGACAATTTAGTAAATGTCACAGTTTAAAAGTGAAGCGATTTCCTCATTTTTCTATTGTAAATAGTTCCATAAATAATAGCAGCCGAACAGTGAATCCAATTTTGTCAGAATCAGTTGTAGATAAAGAACAGCTAATACAAGATGTTGTAGTAAGATGTTTATTGTGTTCATTCATTTTTTGATTATTATTTCTTATTCTACTATAAAAAATTATAGTCCAAACAAATAAACTTAGGCGCAAAAATTTTAAAAATATTATTTGTCAGCTCATTATTTTATTTTATTAAATAGCAATAAAAAAGAATATATGTGACTCTTTCTATCTCTTAGAATGAATTTAAGAAGAAAAAGCCGTCGCTTTCAACACTATCCATTATAAATAGACAACTTTTTAATAACGAGATTTATAGTGTTTTTCCAAAAAGAGTTACATATGCTCCTGGATTAATGTTGGAAGAAGCAATTCGTTTTTAAGACTCTGTTCTTATAAGAGTCTGTTCAATAAGTTTTAAAGACTCTGCTCTTAAGATTCAAAAGATGTTGGTTTGGATTTCTCCTGAGTCTCAAAACCACACTGAAAATTTAATGCTGCTGCAGAAATCACTCATTTTTAAGAAGACAACTGAAAAATTGTTTATGAAAGTAGACGTAAGTTTTTTTGGTTTTTTAATTGGTATTTAGCAAGTTCTATAAAATATAAACTTAACTCATTTAATTTTAATAATAATTTTTTCTTTTATCATTGCAATACTTATTTTGTATTTATAATATTTCAGTGTGATTCAATACATGATTGCTTAAGAGTGCCAAGCCTATATGGTCCACAAATTATATTTAATAAAGCAGAGTATGGTGTAAGGAGTCGAAGTGGTGTTGAGATTGATGTTCAGCCCTTGCTCAGTACATGCGAAATGGTAGTCGTTTTGATGGCTGTTTATTATTTGTTAGATTTAACATATCCTTCTTGTTTTTGGCAGCTTCTGGGATGTTTGCAAGATATTTGCGGATTTGGGCAATCGGATTTACTATCTAAAAAATGCATTTTAATTCTGCAATCTTTTCATAGCAATGCAAAGTACTTTTGACTTTATTAATGTAATTTTTATCAAAGTTAATTTCTTCAATTATTTTCATGATTATGAAAAATGATTTAATATAAATATATTAAGGTATTAAACTGCATGACTTATTTTTTAAATTAAACTTTTATTAAGATACAATTGTTTAAGGTTAGTTTGAGGAATTATTTGGAAATTGAAAAAATGGAAATTGATCTCTTTTAGAGATATTGGCTATAATGGCTATAAAAAAAATTAAAAATAGTGAATTTTTAGTTATATAATGCTATTTTGTTTAGATATCTCAGCACCACAAAAAACACCAAATTTGTTTGTGCTGCATTTATAATTCTGAATTCACTGTACACTCTGTCAATTTTCGGTCCGTAAATTAACCAATAAGTTCCCCGAAATAGACTAAGTCTTTAATATTTGAAATTATTTTGAAAAAAAAAAATTATTTAATATTAAGTTGAAATTCTGAAGAAATCTTTTTGGTCCATAAAACCTACAGGAGGTATACATTTTAAGAAGATATAACATTGTCACCCGAGAGGTTTTAGCTCATTTTATGTGGAATGACCCTATTATATGCTTATGATTTATAAACTTTATACTATAATAGTATTATTATTGTAATATATTATATGATATTTTTATAATAAATTTTTCTAGTAATGTAATATAAGTTTATGTATTAATAAACTAATTAAACTGTGCCAAATAATGGTGTTTATTAATGTTGTTTTATTGTTGTGTAATAATGGTGTATACCTCGTACCGTCTGACCTCTGTCTGTTTATTAATATTAATTTTGTTTTTAATATTAATTTTGTATTGTAAGTATTAAAAAATGTTAAATATACTATTTGTAAAATTAAAGTTGTATAAACTAATAATAACTGCTTTACTGATTTCTACAATAGTCAATAGTTGAAAATAATATTGCTGTTGTTGTCAAATTTCTTGGGGAAAGAAAATTGTTCTTGCTTGTAATATTGCTGACATTCTAACTAATGGTAAGCATATTTTGTAATGCAATGGTTCACATTCTTTTTTCCATTTAATGTATTAATAATAATTTTTTATTTTATGATTGTGATACTTATTTTTTATTTATAAAATTTTAGTTTGATTCACTACATGAATATTTACGCCAAAGCTTATATGGTCCACAAGTTATCTTTAATAAAACAGAATATGATGTAAGGAGTTGAAGAGGTGTCGAAATGGATGCTCAACCCTTGATAAGTACATATAGTGGTTGTTTACTATTTGCTAGATTTGACATATTCTTGTTTTGGCCGGCTTCTTCCGGGATGTTAGCAAGATTTTTTAGGCTTTTTACAATAGGCTTTATTATCTAAAAAATGCATTTTTCTTCTGCAATCTTTTCACAGCAATGTAAATTACTTTTGAATTTATAAATGTTAATAAGTTATTTTATTCAATTATTTATTATTAATTTTGTAAATAATTTATTCAACTATTTTGTAAGTAATTTATTCAATTATTTTGTAAATAATTTTCATGATTATGATAAATAATATAATATACATATATTATAAAATGAAACTGCATTTTTTTTTTTTTTCTTATTACAACTTGTATTGACAAAAAAATGTTTTTTTTTGTTAAGTACTTCTTGTAAATAATCATGCAGAATTATGCGTTTCTTTAAAAAGATAGCTTTCATTTTACATAACGGTAACATAACGGGTAATTACCCGTTATGTTAGGTTTTCAACATAACGGTAACATAACGGGTAATTACCCGTTATATAACGGGAGTTTTCCTCGCACATAACGGTAAATTAGCGTTATGTTACCGTTATGTTTAAGGCAATTTTGCTATGACTAAACATAACGCTAAAACCGTTATTTTATTTTCATACATGTTAAGTATTAAACATAACGGCAATTACCCGTTATGTGCGAGGAAAACTCCCGTTATGTTTTTTAAAAATATAACGGGTATTTTATTTACTGTGTATGTTGGTATATGGAATGATACTTAAGCAGAACAATAAATATTGTTCGGCTCAAGCATTATCACGTATATCAACATAGCAATGGAAATTGTAAGTACAGTTTGTGCTAATATCGGTAGAGGTAAATAATGCCTATGAACTATTTCTTAAATTTTTTTGTGAGCAATATGAAAAAGCTTTTCCTGAGAAAAAAGTTGTTATAAATACCAAGTCATATCAAGCTCCATGGATGTCTAAAGGTTTATTAAAATCTTCAAAAGAAAAAAAAAGTTGTATGAAAATCCTTAAAAAAATCAACGTATAAAAATGAAAAAAACTACAAACTTTATAAAATTATATTTGAAAAAACTAAACAACAATCAAAAAAAATTTACTATTCAAAGTTGTTAAAAAAACTAACGGAAATGCCAAAAGTACGTAGAGCGTAATTAAAGAAATCATTGACAGAAAAAATAACGGAATAAGTATTCAACCAAAGAAACTCTTAGTAGATGGTAAAATAATATAAGACAAGTCAATAGTAGCTGAAAATCTAAACAGCCTCTTTTTTAATATTGGTCCAAACTTAGCTGAAAAAATTTCTTCAAGTTCGTCATAGTTTGATTCTTATTTAGAAACATATGATAAGGTCATGGACGAATCTAAACTAGATATTAACAATCTGCTCTAGATAATCTTAAAAGCAACACAAGTGTATGTTTTAATAATATTAGCATGTTGTCAATTTTTCATATTATAGAAACCTCTTTACATCACATTTTTAATCTTTCTCTTCAATCTGGAACAATTCCAGAAAAATTAAAAATTGCACGTGTCTTGACTATTTTTAAGTCTGGCTATGACACGGGTTCTTCAAATTATAGACCAATATCAGTTTTACCATGCTTTTCTAAGTTACTCGAACGTATAATGTATAATAGGCTAAACAGCTACTTAACAGTAAATAACATGTTGTACAGCAAGCAATTTGGCTTTCACGCTTAGACCGAGTTAGTAACTCATGTATTCAAATAAATTGCTACCGTTGGGTGGTAATACGGTACAAAGATAATTTTTTCAAAATAATAGATACACATCTAAAATTACGGTACAATGATAAGCATCTCAAAATAAAAGATTCACATCTAAAAGTATATGAAGAGTTTATTTATATTTATTCTTCTTTATCTATTCTTTCTGGAAAGTAAAAATGAAACTTTTTTTCTAGGCTTCTGATCTCACATTAGAACAAATAATAAATGCATGAAAGGATTTTTTAACTAACAAATTCAATATCTGCAAAGGCAAAGTTGAGTCATTTTATTTGCATAAGTTACATATATTTGAAAGTATGGGGATGTTAAAAAAAGAAAATGCGTCACAAGGTTTAAAATCAAGTCAAATCGGGGGCAATTCTAGCAATAAAATGACGGGAGGCGAATCCTTAAAAACTGCCGACTACTTTCTTAAAATAAAAAAAAAATTAAAAACCTGCGGACTGAAGCGTGTGAAATACGATTTAGCCGACTTTATTCCTTAAAAAACTGAGTTGATCAAATATAACGCCAGTTATCCGTTATACTTCCGTTATATTTGGCATTATATTGGCGTTATTTTGGCGTTTTTAATCCGTTACATTTGCTCAACTCTGACGTTATATTTGCGTTATATTGAAGAAAAATGAACTAACGGCATAATTGTTATACTTTGTGTTTTATTTATAACACTGATCTTATTTTTAAAAGCGCAATATTAAAAATATATTAAAAAGTTTTAAGATAATAGTTACTAAAGTAAAGTAAATACAGTAAAAAAAATTTGAATATGTCCAGTTATATTGTGTAAAGTTTTGAAAACAAATAAAAATCCAATAAAATTATGAAAATAACTAAAACAACTAAAAGTTAATACAGAGTTTCTTAAAGTTTAAAGTTTATTTATACAAATTCAATAAAGCTTTGTAGTTTATAAACTATTTAAAATATAAAATTTGTAACCATTGGATACAAGATGTTTACGCTAATAAAGTTTACAAATCGAAAAACATTAACTTACAAAAAAAAATATCTTTAACTCGCGTGTGGTTTATAATATATAATCATTTAGTTGAGCAATTTGAAAAGGTATAACCTTACCAATGCCGACCAAGTTTTGATGCCACTAAAGAATAAAAATGAAAAAAATTAAATTAGCATATGACTTCTACAAATTTATGGAATACTTATTACAATAACTATAATCAGAAAATGCGACCTTTCTGAAAGATCAACAACAACAACAACAAAAAGCAATATATTTACCAAGAATATAGATGTTTTACAATAAGCATGTTATAAAATACAAATAAAAAAAAAATATATGTATAGTCTATATTCTGGATGGTTCACTCTCATATAGCCTGGCTAAATCGAGGAGAGCGACCATGAGCAAAACAAAAACGAAAGAAAAACAAAACAAAAAAAAAACAAAACAAAAAAAAACAAAAAAAAAACAAGCTAGCTAATACATTCACATAAGGTTACTATTATTTAACATTCATATTTATATCATATCTCTTATAACTTTTATTGTCATAAATCTTTTATCACCAACGATTCAATTATTGTTTTAATTTATCTTGATGTATCAGGTAGTATTTTAATTTAGTTTTGAGAGTATATTTTTTAATATTGCAAAAAGGGATTGTTTTTAATTTATTTTGAAGTTGATTCCAGTTCATTATTGCAGAGTATTTAAAGGATTGTTTACCATAGGATTTTGTATTATATGTTTGCACACTCAGTGCACCGCTACAAGAGTTTCTTGTAAATCGATTGCTAATTGCACTGCGTTGAGTAAACCATTCATCAAATATAGGAGGCAGTTTTTTATTAAGGCAGCTGTGAATAAGTAAGCAATTTTCAATTTTAACTAAATCATGTACTTTTAAGATATGTAATGTGTTAAAAGATGTGGATGTATGTGAATTATTTGGAAGAAATTCAATAATTCTGACTGCTTTTTTCTGCATGATAAATAGGCAATTAATAATACTCATATTTTGACTCCATGATAAAAGGCAACATGTGAGGTGAGAGTGAAATAAAGCATAGTAAATAGATTTTAAAGTTTTTTGTTGAATGAAATGTCTTAGCTTTGATAGAATGGCAA